TGGTATAGTCTAGTTTCCATCTGTGGATACTTTGGTTTGCTGGAACAAAAATAGCCTACAACCAAAGACTATATTAATTTCTATTAAAATCCAAGTACAGACCAGACATATTAAGTGAGATGTCAAATTCAAGGTGCAGCCCCACGCTAGCAAGTATAGTTCTTGTTTAAGCTATACATATTGCATGTAGGACAGTGGGAAAGTTTATATGTGAGACACAGCTTGATGAAAAGGCACAAGATTTTACTTCTTTTATTTTTAGGAATACCCTTAAGTGAATGGGTCATAATTGTGCTGTAGAGAGATGCTTACCGGCCTGAGGAGAGTTCTGAGATTTGAAAAGACCAACGACTCCCTTCCCATGGAACCCTCCAGATCGGAGGAGCAGAGTACCACTTCTTGAGTTCTTCCAACACACAACAGGCAGGCGATTGTGTCGATAGCAGCGTGCTACTCTTGGTAAACTACTGTCCTGTACAACTTGAGGTACAACTAAAAGGCCAGGATAGCTTCAGGGACATAGAAGGGAGAAAGGGAATGATTGGGGAAGGGGTGGGGGGAGTAGAAAGGGAAAGAAATAGGGGAAGAGGGAGAGAGAGAATATAAGAATAGGAATATCACAGTATCATAGTAATTTTCTATGACTCAGATACATATTGGTTAAGGGGTAAGACATATAATTCATATATTTCAAATGTGGAAGATAATTTCAATTTCTCATTTCTTCAGGGGTTGAGAAGAAAATCCCTACATGGTGAAAGCAGATAACTCATCCATTGATTTGTAGTCTTTTTTGAAATGAGTGACACTGCAGACTTTTGCCAAATAATCTAAGCTTAGAAAATAAAAATATTATGTAGAATCATTAAAAAGGCCTCTGTTGAACTGAATATTTCCCTTGCCTGATACATTACTTTTCCTCAATTTGAAATAAAGATTGTAAAATTAGTGGATTAATGTTAACTTTATGAGAACGACAAGTCAAATTGTCAACAACTCATAGGTCACTGAAATGACAATAGAGAATAGAATACACCAATATTAGACTGCTTGAGATGGTGAAAGGATTAAAAATCAAAACCAAATGATTTTTGGTATGAGAACAGTATCCTCAAATGTCAAAATGAGTTTAAATATTTTATTAACACTACATGTTGATATTTATTTGAAAAATATTAGCTCGAAAAGTTATAGGATATGATGCTGGAAAAGTAAATAACAAGAGTATTTTCTTTTACAGTTAGTAAGTGCAAGGAGGTAGGCAGTTTTTAGAGTCATTTCTTTAGCTTATTTAGAAATATCACACTAAAGAGATTTCATATTTATAACTTCCTAACCACTAATCCTATATCTTTTTTTGTGATTTTTTTTATTGTGGTAAAATATACCCAACATAAAATTTACCATGTTATCCTTTTTTAAGTGTACAAATCAGTGGCATTAAGTACATTCAAAATGTTGTGTAACTATAACCACTATACGTTTCCATAACTTCTTATCCTTTATCTTGATATAAACCAGTGCTGAGAGGAGGGAGACAAAATCCAGTTTATGGTCATGAAAATTGTAACCTTCAACTATTTTAGCGCATGCCAAATTAACTTTCCATACTTAACCAATAGTACCTTGGAAGCATTCTGAAAGCCCAACATTTTGGTGCTCTAGGAAGTTATGGCCTGTATTTTTCTAATACCACAAATTGATGAAAAGACCACACTATAAACATAATCATTCATGAAGACTGAAAAAGCAATTCCATAATTAGGACTTTCTACTTCTAACTTTAAATATCTGTTTTTCCCCACTTGCTTCAAGATACAATGATAATGTGTATTAGGTAAGGCAGTAATGTTTAATGGCTCCAGGAGCTGCTTCAATAACTGGGAAAGAACCAGCACACTCCTTCATTCCCTGCCCCCTATAGTGGGCTGTTGCCTCCATCCACTGGAAATGAGCACCAAACAGACCATGCTGTGCTACACATAAGATCTAAGGCTCTCTCCTACTCCCAGACATGGGCTTGAGTGATAGCTGTATAGTCCCTAGTCCTGGGGCAAATAGTGTTAAGCCTGAAGACCAGTACAAGCTACTCTCAGTACCAGTCTCATTTAGTAATAAAGATTCCAATTACCCTGCCACCCATCCTACCCCACTACCCAGAGCCTTCAGCTCTGGGCTCCAGAGTTAAGCCTCAAGAGGTAGACTGGGCTTCAGAAGCTTTTGTGGAAACTTCTAAAGTATAACTCACATACAAATGCTCAAAACACAAATGAACTAACACACACAAAAAACCCATGTCAGTACCACCTAGGTCAAGAAACTGACCATTACAAGCATCCAAGAAGATCTCCTTGCATTTCCTCCCAATCACCATTTCTCCCTCTTCCTTAAAGAATACCACTATCCTGACTGCTAACAACATAGATGAGTTTTGCCTGTTTTGAATTCTAGATAAAAGGAACCAATAGAATTTATTTTTTTGTGTCTGGCTGCTTCTGCTCAATATCATGTTTATGAAATCCATTCATGTTATTGTATAGAGCTGTAGTTTGTTCATTTTCATTACTGTATAGTATTCTACTTTGTGATTATAATACCTTTACTTATCTATTCTTCCATTGTTGATTTTGAGTAGCTTCTAGCTTTTTATTATTAAGAATAATGTTGCTGGCCGGGCACGGTGGCTCACGCCTGTAATCCTAGCTCTCTGGGAGGCCGAAGCGGGCGGATTGTTTGAGCTCAGGAGTTCGAAACCAGCCTAAGCAAGAGCAAGACCCCGTCTCTACTATAAATTAG